ATAATTGGAACACTTCGTAAAAATTGCAGAGACTACCCTAAAGTTGTTGCAACAAAATTAAAATAAGATGAGTCAGTATTCAGAAAAAGATATAAATTAACTAAAAATGGTGTATCATATAAGCATTTTGGACAGTACGCTGGTATACAAACTGTTAACATGCTCTTTCTCTGAAGTTTGGAGTCAAGGATCATACCAAGATATTTTGCTGTATTGGCAAATGATAATGCAGTGATATTGATGAAGATTGGTTGATGTGTAATCCTCTAGTTTGTGAAGTAAAAAAAAATATTATTAAGATACATTCAGCTGTTTTCCATGCATCTGGTACCTAGTACATAGTTCAACCGAATTAAAGCTTTGACCAATGTAGATACTTTGACTGAGGCTATTCTTTGAAATATTTCAAGAATTTCGCCATTGATTAATATAAACGAGCTTTTTCGCATTGAGGTTGTTCTTAATTTCTTTAGCATCTAGTTTAGTAGTAACTAGTGAAATATTATCACGTTAGACCTTTGGTTCAAATTGATTTAAATACAAATTAATTAATGAATAAATTATTATTTGTTAATTTTTATAACTTTTAACAACTTTTAATAACATAATAATGTCTCTCGGAAACATTGTTTCTGCAGCATTCGCTGTAATATATTAAGTAATAAGTCAACGAACCATATGTGTGTGTGTGAATTTAAGGCAGTAAACTAAATTACGAGCATTTTATTACAAAATGTAGTTGAATGTCGCAACGAGTGTTTAGTGTTGAAAATAAACTGTCACGCCCTTTTCGTTATTGTGGAAATAAAATACATTCCAAGCGTATTTAGAATCGCAATCATCGTTGCTTTGATTATCCTTGCCAGGATAATGTATTATTTGTGTTTGCAGAGAAGGTGGCGGAGCGAGTTTAGCATTCAATTTATTTGCACTTGATATTGATCCAGACGATCCCCAAATGGGTCTGACTTGGAATGAAAGAAAAAAAATCGACGCGGAAATACGCATTTTTTTTTGGGTATGTGTGCTAATTGAGCGAAACGTGTCTTGGCCTTCCGTGTTTGTCCGTTTTTATGTTTTCGTTTGGAATACATTAAAAGTATTTATAACGCGCGGCTATGCAGTGAAATAGAATTAATGCGTCGTTTACCAGAATACATACATTTTAATACAATCCACTTTGACCTGAAACTTGGCACTTCCGTTGTAGGTTAATATTAATTACAGGTAAAAAAAAAAGAACGTGCTCAGTTGGATCTATGAAAATACGCAATAATTTGAATGGTAATTTTTCGGTGGCTGCGCCGGGCTTGCACTTGTTTCCATTTCCGCAACGGATGGAATATTTTGTATATTTATTTTCATTGCGTAATTGTGATTATTTCGAATGCTATGAATATATAAATAAATTGTAGCTACAATTAGTTTGATATATGATAAGTTCTTGAATAAACATACTTTTGTCAATCCTAATGGTCTCCATAAATCCGCTTTGCAAGTTTGCTTGGAATGTGGAAGATGGTTTCTGTTATGAGGATCGTCGCAACGTTTACACGGCCCTACATGCAGATTGAATCAACATGCACTGTTCTAACTGGCACGTATTGAAACGGGCCTGCATTGTACGCAAATTTGATAATGCGTATCAACCCACATACGTCCATCAAGTAAACATTTATGATAACGTTAGGGAGGCTGGAAACCGGTTAATTAATGGTTTTGGATGGAGATCGTGTCGCATCGAGAGAAGGATATTAATTTTCGAAATTATCCGGTCGCGAGGAAAACTATTGCAAACCTAGGAGTCATTAATAACGCTCGCATTAATGCGAAATTTTCGGCTCATTTGCATATGGACTTTTCGTTTCGTTTTCCCAGCGTGGATCAGTCTAATTAATCGAAACGCATATTTCCTATAGCGTTTCATTTCCTTCTTTCCACGTTTTCGCTGCTGCAAGATGATTTATATCGCTGATGCCATACATTATCGAGTTTCTTTTGTTGAAACCTTTCTGGATAGCAAAGATGTATTATTTTCAACTCCGTTTCATATAAATCGTACATATCTAGACGTAAATTAAATTACAATTTTATTAATCGCGCGGCGTTTGTGAGTCGTCAATGGTCAATCATAACTTAGAAAAGATTCATACTGAGTGACGATTTGTAAACAAAATATTATTAGCAGAGTCTACCAGACGCTGCGCAAGTAATGATTTTCCATTTTTTTTAAAGGGTAAGTTATAGTGATTGAAATATATATAATGAAATTAAACATCACCCAGAAATTGAACCGAATGTAGAGATTTTACAAAAATTAGCAAAGACAAATAATTAGAATCAAACGATAGTAGAGACGATGAATATTTTTTTTACATTTCTATAAAATAAACGTGCTTATAAGCTAAAATTTTTTTCTCAAACTAATCAATTCTATGTTTATATAAATTAATACTAACGTTATATTTAACTGAGTTTTTTAGAGTTTAACAAAAGGTTAAAGCACAACCAATATTTTCAAATAAATTCACACCAAAACATCAATTTCAAAATTATTTCTTTATCAATTTCTTTATTGGATATTTTATTTCCAAAACCCTTAACAATGAAGAAAAATGTAGCCCTGACAACAAAATCATCATAAACAAATTCAGTTATAAGAATCTAAAATTATGTATTTTAATAAAAATGGAAAAAAACAAAATTTAAAACGATTATTTCTAGAAAAGTGGCTTTAAACGTCCAATCTAAATATGTAGTTATTTTTTTTTTCTATTTTTATATTAAGATTTACATTTTTTTTTGTAATGTAACGAATTTTCCCATGATTTCCATTACATTTAGGATCAATAATGTAAGAAATTTGTGGACAAATACTACAAAATAAGTGAGGTTTATTTAAAAAAAAATAGGATTCAAGACATTATATTTCTTATGAATGTGTTTACATTTAATAAAACCACCGTCAGCATCAATAACTGCTTCGATACGAGATTTGTATAAAATATGATAATATGAAATAAAAATAAAGCAACTATAATAAAATCAGACTGTTTTCTTAAAAATGCAGATTTTAATTATAAATTCAATTAATTGTAAATCCATAAATTTTCTATGATATCAAATATTCGTAAATATTTCTTTGAATTTTCAGTAGAAATGCGCGTAATTAAATGCAGCGGATTCCGTAATTAAATTGGCATTTCGACAGGACTAAAAATAAAATTATAAAAAAAAAATTTGTAGTGTCATGAGTAATTAAATGTCTGGCTTGTGAAATTCTGATGACTGCGCAATTATGAACGATCAAAGTGAATAGACATCAATTAGCGATGAAGAGCAGAAGCAGAGACGAATCGAGGAGATAGAGAGAGAGAAACCAAAAAGAAGAAAAAATGCGAGAGATGCAAATTGATTGTGATTGCAGCTAATAAGCTTTGAGCTGAACGCAAAAGAAAATAAGTAAGTGTTCTGTGTTTAATGAAGAAGCTATAAAGTTGATGTTATCGTTCTTTAGTTATTTCGCATGCCGATCACGTTTAAATCAGATGATGACACAGCGTTTGTCCTTTTTTTCTTATCAATGGATGCGCCCTTTGTGATACCTAAATTTATTATTGCTGGTTTCAACATCCGAACACCAATGATTGATATAAGTTTATTCGCTATTGTCGTTTGCACGTCCTTTGAACCTTAATCGCGCATTTAACGGACGAAAGGGTTGAACTCGTAATTAAATCGAAAACTTTGCAAACACCGTCGATTTGTGTCCTTTCCAGTCGCTTTGATCATGATTAAATATAATATTCGTCGGTAGTTCAGTTAATTAAAAGAAACCCTTCCATGGTGTAACTTTCGCTAATTAAATGCGCTGCACTAATAGAATTTCAAAACCGGCAAATGTGTGTCGTTGCATCTGCACTCCCGCGCGTTACGCAATTATCATTAAATATCACAAGAACATGCAGCTCGTTTTAATGCGTAGTTAATAAGAAAACCACTTAGTTTCGTAATATGGCTAAATTAATATGTCGTAGAACATTAACAATTATTTCTTTAGGAAATTTTCACGGAACACTTTGGAACATAGTTTGGGAATCCCAATTTTATTTAATTGGTTAGAAATCGCGTATTTTTTTAAATAAATTAATGTTTAATGGATAAACTAATTTGTTCTAAATGTATACTCATTAAAAGCAAACTATCAAAGACTATTGAATTTACAAATTACTTTAATTGGTAAACACAACTTTATATATTTTATAAAGTGCTCACCGGTATTGATCAGTTCCAATATTAACAAGAACCGAAATGCTTTCCGTCGTAAATTGAAAATGAACAAATAAGCACGTTCCGCACGCGCGATTTTTAAAATTGCTCAATTTGCAGCTACTTTTTAATCTCACTGCACATATTTTTAATCCCAAGCTGTTTCATAGTAATACAATCAACATTTATGGAACATCGTGCTGTTTGTTAGCTCTTTTATTAAGTACATCATTTAAACTAATAAATAATAATAAAATAGAACCATTATCCGTTACTCGCGTGGCGTCTGAGAAAACATAACACTTATTTTAGAAAAATGTAAAAACAATATCTTCTACTATCGTTTGTTTATATATTAATTTTATATCATGATCATGATGCAAATTATAAAATTTAAATTAAAATATATTCGTACAATTTTTAATATATATATTTAAATATTTAGCTTCACTGTTAAAAATAGAGAAATTATTTCTCTAACTTTGTATATATTTCTATTATATGTTCGTTATTTATTTTCATTCAGAAATATGCACTAAACTAAATCTATTTGTTTGCTTTCAACGCGGTTTATTAACGGTCCATGCACAAAAACAAACACGTCGGATGTAAAATAATTCGTAACAAATGTTGTCACGCGTTTTCGCAATTAAAATTTATTATTTTAGTAACTTGTTTACGGGATACGTCAGTTTGACGTTATTTTTTTTATTTATTTTCTTTTTGCGTTATTTTCTAAAAGTTTTATTTTAAAAAATGTATTGGAAAGTAGTGCGAGCTGGTTATCAGCTGGCAGAGGCTAGAAGCCGTGGAGTGCTGCGGATAAATGTGAGATACTTGAAGCAGAATTTGCCCAAACAGCCTGTACCAAAATTGGAAGATTCGATCAAATTATACTTGACATCGGTGAGGCCCCTCCTGGATGATAAACAGTTTGGAATCACATCGGATTTGGCGAAGAAGTTCTTGGCAGGAGATGGTGCTAAATTGCAGAAGATGTTGGAGGAAAAGGCGAATGCGACGGAGAATTGGTTGGCGCTTTGGTGGTTGAACGCAGCCTATTTGGAGTACAGAAGACCTGTAGTTGTGTTCTCAAGTCCCGGACAAGTGTTGCCTTTTGTAAAATTTAATTCCTTGGATGATGAACTTAATTACGCAGCTAGTTTAATCGTTGGAAGTTTGGAGTACAAGGAATTGATCGACGATGACAAAATACCTATAGATAAAATGGGAAAAGATGATCTGGATATGCAGCAGTACAAGTTGGTTTTTGGAACGTGTCGCAATCCCGCAATTCCCAGGGACACACAAGAGTTCAATCCGAAATCCAAGCACATTATCGTTGCCCATAACAATCACTTCTTTAGGGTAGATGTTTACGGTGAGGATAATAAGAAATTAAGCGTGAAGCAGTTGGTGGCGCAGATGAAGAAATGCGTGGAGCAGTCGAAAGCAAAAGGGCCAGCAGTGGGAATAATGTCGAGCGAGAACAGAGATACTTGGGCAAAGGCTTTCAAAAAGTTGATGGCTGATGCAGGCAACAAGAAGTGTGTGGAGGAGATTCAGAAGTCTCTATACTTGATGTGTCTTGATAAACCAATGCCTAAAGGAAAAGGAAATGATATATCCATTGCTAGTCAACAGTTCATAACGGGTGGAGGAAGCACTGCGAACTCTGGTAATAGGTGGTTCGATAAGACTGTACAATTTATCGTTTCTGAAGATGGTTACAATGGATTAACTTACGAGCATTCCCCAGCAGAAGGAGTCCCAATTGGAGTGATGTGCGATTTTCTTGTGGGATATCTCAAGAAGAAAAGCGCAAATAATGTTCCCGATTCCAAAGGATTCAATCCCCCGGCCCATCTAAACTTTAATTTAAGTCCCGATATCAACAAGGAAATTGAGTCTGCTTCAAACAGCATCAATAAATTAGCTAATGATCTGGACATGAACTGCTTCCTATTCAAATTGTATGGGAAAGATTTCATCAAAAAGATGAAGGTTAGTCCGGACAGCTTCATCCAAATGTCCTTCCAGTACACTTTCTACAGGATGTACAAACAGCCGGCTGCTCACTACGAAGCGGCAGCAACCAGAAAGTATCTTCATGGACGCACCGAAACCATCCGCTCTTGCTCCATCGAGTCGGTAGCTTTCGCCAAAGCAATGCTCGATCCTAAGATGTCTCCGGATGATAAATTTAAAGCCTTGAGAGCTGGCGTCAACAGCCACAAGAAGTACGCGGTTTTGGCACGCGAAGGATACGGAATAGATAGACATTTGCTGGGTCTCAAGTTGTTGTCTATAGAAAAGAAGATGCCGATGAATCCTTTCTTCTCGGATATAGCTTTCACGAAAAGCACTCACTTTCGACTATCCACCAGCCAAGTTCCCCAAAGGATGGACGGTTTCATGTGCTTCGGACCTGTGGCTTTGGACGGTTACGGTTGCTGCTACAATCCACGCAAGAACGACATATACTTCGCGGTTTCATCATTCAACTCCAATTCCGAGACGAGTTCAGAAAAATTCAAGACCAATCTTGAGCAGACCTTCACCGAGTTGAAAGATCTCTTTGGAAAACTCAAAAAGTAAAATTGTCATGATAATTATTCGTTTTTTTTTTTGGCAATAAAAAGTAACATTTAGATTAATCCGAAGAAGTGTCTCCCTGAAATTTTTGTAATTAGTCTCGACTTAATTAACGTCTCGCAAAGAAAATTGCACTTTGTATGTAAATAACCCATTTTTCAGAATTCTCCTTTGATTAATATCTCAAAGCTTCGCGCTTTTAAACCGAGCATTTTCATTAAAATTTTTCGCTATTTATACGCCAACAATTCGCAGTCACTGCATATAAAATAAAACGAGTTTAAAGTTTCCCAAAAAAAAAATCACTGGGTTTCACTATGGTCTATACCTCTTTTAAATAACTTTAAATAAATCGTGAAAATTGTAAAATGTTTGCGCTTTGTGAGGTTTTTTCTGTTGATCGGAGTGAGAAAATCTGTTAAAGTGTTAAAATTTAAAGAGTATTTGGGACCGGTGAGTGGAGACATATAAATACAGTGCATCCCCGAACGCGGAACGATGAAAAATCCTGAGATCGCCTTTGGAGTGGCAACTAGCCAAGAGGAATCCGGAATTTAGTACAACCGTTCGGAGAGAAAGAATCTTTATTTTCAAACCACTGACGGCACGCCGAAAATCGCTTCTTGCATACCAAAAATTATAACTTCCGAAACATTTCTTTGCCTTTGTTCTTCAAGACATTCCACTTGTTTGCAATTAATTAAAGTATCTTTTAACTCACATTCCTTAATCGTTGTTTGTATTCAGTTATACAGTTAATATTTCAAATATTTCATTTGTTGTTCTTGGAATATATAAAACTAATACTGAAATAATTATAGATTATAAAATCAATGCATGTAGTTTTAATAATTTAGTTTGGTTTAAGTAAACCGACACCGACTATGGAGATTATATAATCTGAAGGCTGAATGTATTATTTACAATCGTAACACTGGGATGATGGGATCAATGCAGACTCGAGGAAAATCCGTTTGTAAGCAAATTAGAGATGAGTTTATTTTAAACAGGAAGAACAGGCTTGGATAGCAGCCAGGAGACTTATTCGAATGCGGCCACGGGAATAGTAAACCTGACTTTATTGCACAGGCAAATCGTTCCATTGATTGACTGGACTGCCGTATTCTACTAGGTCGAGCGACACCACAACCACAACGGTGAGATAATGTCTGTTACGAAAGAGCGTCTTAATTGGATATCAAGGGAAATCGATAATCGCGACGCGAATCCAGGTAATTGAAAAAGAAAATTAAATTGTTACCTTCGCTTAGGCCGGATCTATACCAGGAATGCCTGAATGATGTTTTATGCAATATTATCGACTAATCTCAGTGCAAATCTCTGTTTCCGTTATTCAAAGTTGATTAGCTTTTGCACTTCCCTACTTCCATGGATATTGCTTTTAAATCTAATTCCTCTATTTTATGATAATTGAATTTACCTATTTTTTCTTTTACAGCATTGCATTATTTTTTATTCCAGGAAATAATGTGATGTTCTCTGTAAACCTGAAGCAAGGTAAGCTATTAAGTGTAACTGAATATGCAAGTATAATATGCCTTCAATTTATACCTTAGCACAGATTCCTGGAAAACGTCATGCGAAGCGAAAGCAGTAGAGAATTTGAATATTTTAGAGGTCGCAAGGTTTATACAACATATTTCGCAGGTGAAGTGTGCGATGTACACAAATACTCAATTATTGATGGAAAGAATCTCGGCTTTAGGAGATCTGATCCCAAGGCGACACATCTCTGGGACGGATTAATAATTAGTGACTTTCCATTAGCTTTTGTTAAACTTAGCAATAACAACGGACTGACATTATGAAAACTGGAAAACTTTGTATTGTAAACGAACAATAAAAAGTGGATAGTCTACATAATGCAGTTGGATAACTTTTTTCAATGTCGAACGCGGATCGTCATTGGAGGGCGACCAAAGTTTCCTGTTAGTTATATCACTTTGCACGAGCAAATTTCCGTATGTTTTCTCATACACGTACGCTCTCATCTAATTCCTCCACTTTACCTCAATTACAACAATAGTTACGTAATTTTGAAATAATTCTAATAGATTTAATTGTAGTTTGCGCGCTTTGCTTCAGAAGTTAGTTCATTTTTATAATTGTATTTTAATCGACTTTAGAAATGATTTTTTCTATTGAATCGTAATGTAATTTTCGCTGTGAAATATTTATTAATAAATCAATATTTTAACAATGAAAAATAAAACAAGTATGTAAAACTAAAATACATTTTGATAATTGCAGTTATTAACACCAAACATACCAACGTTTCATATATATCTATTTCTTAAATCTTACGTTTTTTTTTGTGTTAAAATAAACGTTATAAAAGTATAAAATATTTGTGTAGGACAATTGAAGTAAAAAAGTAATTACAGAAAATCTGTTGTATTTTTTTAAAAGATGAAAAATTGTAAAAAAATTTAATGATGAAATTTGGAAAACTATATGATAAAAATTTTTAGTAGATTTAGTACAAAAGAGTTGATTCTTATAATAAATCATAGAGAAATGATTAAATAAAATATAAATTCGCAATTCTAATTACAGTGTAACCTCGCGTAACGAGTTTACTCGTATAGTGAAACATATTCAAAAATCCGCACAATCCGGGACTCTTTTCTTACTTGTTATGCGAGGTTCCACTGTATATTCTTGTTGGTATGTGATACTATCCATGATGTATACATGCACATGGTCGTTCGTCCAAAGTCTATCATGCATATCAAAGGGATTTGTACAGTAAAGTAATTTGCATTGTATTCGAATGCATCTGCTTCGGATTCGGATCGGAATAACATTAACCTCTTTGAAATGAAATACAGAGACACACGCGGTGGGCGATGGGAATATTTGCATGGAATCGAGTTAAATCTAATGTGATCGTCGCATTTTGTAGTCAGGTGTGTTGCATTTGCTTTCTCTTAATTTATTATTGGGAAGGTGGGAACCCTCCCTCTGTCCTGAGGCGATTAATATAAACTCGGTGGACCGACCTCATCGTTGTA